ACATTTATATATTTATAACCAAAATGTAACAGTTGGTCCATACACTTCTGGATAACATTGCTGAATCGCTAACGCCTTCCGTATTTTTTATGGTGATGGAACTATTTTTGGCCAAAATGATATCACACTCGTCTTATGAAAAATTTTTCGTCAACTACATTTTTGCATTAATTTTCTATCCAATCTGCATAAACCCTTCCACTTGTTTTTCCTCTTCCTCGTGGAAAAATTTATCAAACCATCGTTACTTTTATGAGGCATCAAATTTAGTGTAGTTAAATTAAAATTTTTGGCTTAGTTAGCTACACAAGTCATAAAACAAGTGTGGTGTTGTGTAATAAATCTAAAATACTGGTCGTATTTTAGACTCTCTGAGCAACAAGTGGACTTTAGTATAAATATTTCTTCCAACTGGCAAATTTCACTGATTACTCATCAACCCACTAAATACCATTTCGTGAACAAGTGTTAGGTGAAGCAGATGTTAAAAAATTCGAAGAATAGATAGAAAGATAGATAAAAATTATAATTATAATATTTCAATCATGATATTTGATATATTATAGATATATGTAGTTTCAAATTATTTAAAGTTCCTTTGAATTACAAATTTAATTATTGGATTCCTAAACAAAATATAAAATTTTGAAAGTATGCCTAATTTTATAAAAAAAGTCGCATCAAAGAATTTTGATAAAAAATTGAACCTAAATAGATGCACAGTAAAAACAAAAGAGAGGGAATGTTCAATAATATTTTTTATTACAATTCTGAATCGATTTCAAATTGACTAGTTTTCGGTAAAGATCAGCCTGGTCGTTTCTTCGTAATTTCAATATTACTAAAAAAAATTTGACGATTTTTTTGGGAATGTATGGTCTTAAAAAACATACTAAAATATTGCAGCCCTACGACAAGTACAAGTCGTAAGGCTTTCTTTCTTCGACTATTTCTCAATAACGAGAATGAAATATAATTTTATTGATGTAGAATGAACAGTTTTTGAATTATTCGAAAAAGGCATGAAAACTAATAAAAAAAAAAACAAATACACTTTGTAGTGTAAAATCGCTTCGACTAATATTAACAATTCAAATTTTTTTTATTCAAATTACAATCTGTCTTATAATTAGAAGACATTTAGTAATTAATCTAGGATTTAATAGAGAGACGTATAATATTTTTAGAGAACCACCCATTGGTACGTTTTCTAATTTATGAAAATTTGTACTAAATTTGATGATAATTTATAATAAAAACATTTTTAGTGTAAATTTAGTATCTAATATATTTCATATGAAAAGGCAACCTAGTGGTCATCCTTAAAATTGCGTAAAAAACTTTGTTTTTGTCGAATATCTCGTGATAAGGTTCCCGATCAATTGTACTAATAACTTGGACTTGGGCTAAGTTTTCGTGAAAGCGAAAATTAATAATTACAGCTCAATGTCAATTCTTGTGGATTAAGTGGATTTTTTAGACTGGAGGCACCTAGTAATATTTATATTTGCTGTATTTGCATAAATATATAGATAATAATAACAATAGACAGCTAAAAAAAACAATGATTAATTTCTGGCAATTTCGTTCAAAAATATTAATTAAATATCGAACCATAATAGAATCTGAAAAATTAGTTTTATTATAAAATATCTCAGTGAACAACGCGTTCAATAATAATATTTAAATTTATTTATCAATTGTTTTGATGATAGGTGGAAGTATGGCACAAAAACATGTACTGTTGTTCTATACGTTTTTAATTATCAGAAATATTTATTAATTAAAATTTTCATAAAATAATGTTTATGTTTAAAAATCAGTAATATAAGCAACTTCAATGGCCATAAAATGTTCCTGATAATTTTTGGATAAGAATTATATTTCCTGTCATTAAATTTTCCTGGTAATTTTTGGATAAGAATTCTATTTCCTGTCATTAAATTTTCCTGGTAATTTTTGGATAAAAATTCTATTTTCTAATTAACTGTCCATAGGGTAAGTTGTAGTAACCACAAAAAAGTCAAAAATATTTTTTTAATATATCTTTACGTTTCAAATCCTTCTGAACATTTTGTCATACCTTAAAAAAAATGAATGTGTTTGTGTGTGCGGTTACCAATTTTCCGAAACCAATTTGAATAATTTAAAAAAAAAAGCATTCGATTCGTATTGATGAGGAGACGTGCAGATTAGTTTTTGGCAAAAGCAGGTCCAGCCGGTTTGGAGATCCAATAAAAACAAAAAATAACGGTCAAAATTGATCATTAGACATAAGCACATCAAATCAGATATTTTTTTTAGAGATTTTAATAATAAGTGCAAATTTCGTTTACATTTCTGTAGGTTCGGTACAAATGTTTTTTTCTAGACTGCAACGGGCGCTATCGCGCTTCGATATTTTGTTTTTTCGCAGCTTTCTACTTTGAAAAAAGTAAATAAAAATCAAAATGTTATAAAAAAAAATCAACAAAAACAAGTTATCTCAAAAATTTCAGAGTTTTCAAAAATCCTTCTAAAGCCTTTTTAAAAAATTTAATTTTTAGTAGAGAAAGTTTCAGCAATTTGCCTTCAAGACACGATGCCATGCACCACTAAGATAAAAAATTTAATTTTCGATACTAGTTGTTCCTGCAATTTGCCTTAAGGTACGATGCCATGCTCTACAAGTGGATTGTCCTCTTTTATGGTGTACCAAGTTCTATTCTATTGAAGACCAGACGTTTGTCCACTCAACAATTCAGAAAACAATTGTTGAAATTTAAAGACAAATTGTTAAATTTTAAAGACAATTCCATTTCCTTGATCTTTGATAGTCTTGGTTCTATTTTACTACCGACCAGACGTTATTTCTTCTGAAAGACAATTGTTGCATTTGAATCTATTTATTAATAGAGATTGGATTTTGACTTGACTTGTCTCGACTTGACTAAATGTCCGAATATAAGATTCGTCATGTGATGTTTACGATGATAAACAGACAGGTGGTAGGACGAAAACGAAGACGATGCATGACGTCTGCTTTCCGCATTCTCATGAACAAAGTCGACGGACGGACGACGTTGGGCCGAATTTAGACTTTTCCTCCGGATGACGTGCGCATTTTCAGACAACGGAAAATGCAATTAAAAAATTCGGCAACAAACAATGTAGGGATTTTGTTGGATAAGTCTTTGAAAATTGCTTAGCAGATTATAAAAATAGGTGTAAGTAGCATTTTGCCCCAAGTATACTAACAATCGACTTATAGGATTTAGTTTTTCAGTTAAAATTTCCAATTGTTTATTTGGAAAATGAAGTATTCGCTTTCACCAAAAACTAATGAAAGAGAGTTCAAATTAGCACGTTTCAGAAAAAACTTATATTACTAAAAATATTACCCATATAGATATCGCCGTGTCCTATTTGGTTGGATAAAATTTAACAAAACTTTTTAGCCATTATCCAATATCATCATATCTTATATATAAAAATGAATCGCAAAATGTGTTGGTAAGCGCATAACTCAACAACGCCTGGACCAATTTGGCCAATTCTTTTTTTTAAATGTTCGCTGAAGTCCAAAGATGGTTCTTACGGCGAGAAAAAATCGAATAATTGCCGGGAAAATCTTAAAAACAGCCCTTTTCTTTTTCACATGCAAACGTTTTCTAACCAAAACGTAGAATCATTTTGAGCTTTATTGCTATTATATAAAGTTCATATTAAATTACAAGCACTAACTGTAAACTCCTCCTAAACTATTATTCGGATTTTGATAAATCTTTCTGACGTTTGTTAAGGAAATTTTCTAAGATGTATGTGTATAAAAAGTACTGTGATGTATGTGCAATATTGTATAAATAAATGGAAAAAATTGCAAAAAACGACATGTCATTATTTGCATTAAAAACAAATGAAAACTATCATCTGCCAAAAATTACAATTTACTTATGTACCTAGACAATATTAGAATATGTATAATAAATTCACAATTATGAATAAAAAAAATGAAATGTCTACATTATTATTGCCAAAAAGCAGCTGAGATGTGCCAGATATTAAAATAATATAAAATACAGAATATGTATGTCAGATTGAAATATACACATATAAACAAATATGACAAATTAATTCACTTAATATATGAAATTAAGTATTAGGGCCGGTCCTACCTTTAATGCGATGCAATACGAGCGCACGCCTTAGGGGGCGCCAACAAAAGATTCGGATATTGATTTTTCAATATAGTATTTTTTCAATGTATAATTTCTTCGCATCTTTTACAAATCTTTCCACAATATTTTTAAAATTCGTAAAAATTTCACTTTTTAACAACAAATGGGAAAATAAAGATGAATACATACAATTCGGCCCTCACGATATCGGTTAGGAGAAGTTTAAAATGCAATTTAGGATATCTTAAATAATAAAAAATTAAATTAATTTAATCCAACATGAAGAACCAGCGTTATGTTATGGTTATGGTTATATTATACCGCTTAAAAGACTTCAATTTCCAATATAGTGTGGGAATTGAGACTCATCATTTTATTTAAAGTAGTTCTACATTTAACATCGCTCATGTTATAAATATATATGCATTTTGGCGTAAAGAGCAGTTTAAAAAACAATAATTATTATTTTTAAGTAAACGGTAAATATTAGTATATTATATTAAAAAGATGTAGACATGGGTACAGAACAACGTCTGTCGGGTCATCTAGTTTTTGTATAAAATTCTCAATTGTTTATTTCGAAAATTAAGTACTGGCTTTTACCAAAAACTAATGAATGAGATTTCAAATTAGGACGTTTCAAAAAAAAAAAAACTAAAAATATTGTCCATATAGAGATCATCGCGTCCTATTTGGTTGGATAAAATTTAACCAAATTCTTAGCCATTATCCAAGATCATCATATTTCTTACAGTTTCTTGCAAAAAAATGCGCTAATTTTTTTGTAGTTTCTATAAATATCTACTTAATATATGTGATTTTTAATTATATTTATTTTTTCAGATTCGAGTCCAGAACATAATGTGAGCATAGCCAACGACACCCAAGCCAGATCTCCTGAAGCATCTCGTAACCAAACCAAAACTAAATACCAAAAAAATGCAATTCCTACAAATTCTCAAAATCCCATGGACCAATTTTATAATCTAACAAAATTGGCCGAAGTGGCTGAACGGTTGTCTCAGAGTCAAAACACAGAAATCGACTCTAATAATAGAAATTTTGGAGAAATAAGTGATACCATAAACATTAGAAATTTATCTACCACAAGAAATCCAGTACGATGTAATTTGCAATTTGTTGATCATGTATCCAATAATAAAAATCCAAATCCTGGTGCATCACAATTAGATGCACCCATTAGGAATGCAAGTGATGTAGTGATAAATGGAGAAAAAAATGATATACAGGATAAATTTACTAAGATTTTTTGTGATAAACGTTTTGAAGAAACTAGATTGACCGATTGTATAAGGAATCCAGAAAAAGAATGCCTGAACACAAGTTTTGGAACGAGCAATACAACTGTTATTAAATATAGGTATATATGAATAAACACACTTAAGGAGCACAACTAGTGTAAGCGCCTAAAAAAGGTGATTTTTGGGAATTTATATTGAAGAACTACTTCATCAATCACTTCAACATTTTAAGAATGTATTCACACATGTTTTAAGAATACATAGTAAAATTTTTGAAGAAAAAAATTAAATATTTTTTAAGTTATCGTCGATCTTCAACGGCGCGAAAAAAAAAGACCCTTCACTGCTGCAGTGATTCCGGCCTTCTACGTGGATGAAATTTAGAAAAAAAATTCTCGTTTAACTAGATAATATTGTCTGTAAAATGACCTACGATAAAGTAAAAATCAAAAATTGACAAAATGGCGGCGTTTTAAAAAAAAAAGTCGAATTTTACCCAAAATTTTGGTCGTTTTTGGACTGCCAAAATTCGATTTTTGATCTAATCAAAAATTCGATAGTTCATTATACGGAGAACTATATATAGATGTAAAAAAAATGATAGGATCATTTGTTTTTGAGTAATCGCTGCAGCAAATTCGGAAAATGATGTTTCGAGAAAAACGCGTATAAAGATAAAATGATCGTTATACTATATACTATATATATACTATTCAAATGGCTGTGACTCAAAAACTATTCAAGAAATCGATTTAAAATTTTGGTATGTTATTTTTAAAGGTATAACCTATCGAAATATGGAAAAATTGAAAATTCGATTTTTTGAAAATCTCACACTAGTTGTGCCCCTTAAATAATTTCTATATTGATCACTGATATTTTTACCATTAATTTTGCTATTACTATTATTAGATGGAAAAAACAACAGCAGTCACCAATCCCCGAATCATCAGAAGACGACACGTCCAATGCAAGCACCAGTACAGGCAGTAGTTATGCTTACGAGCATAAAATTTTCGACAAAATTCCCAGGAAAAATAAAAGCATTTGCGAGTCTGTGGGTTCAAAATCAGATTTGGCGAGCGAGACCGAAAAAGACGATTTTTCTGATAGGGATGAAGCTAGGAAACTAGACCAGAATCACCAGGAAGACGCTTATGCTTGCACTGATTGTGGAAAAAGGTAAATAGAAGAAGAACTAGGTGTAAGTGAATAATTGACATAATCAAAAACAATTAGGGTATACGAATTTCTAGAATTGCTACGGCACAATGTTGGTATTTTTATGCCGATTCTGCCTCACAACAGTCGAATGTTATGGCAAGGCCATGTTACGCACCAACTTCGATACATTATGCTACTGAATCATACTGAGTACTGCCAAAATGTCATGTATTTGCTGTGCATTCAGGCTTTTACATATAAATTGCAACGTCACTCATATGTTATAAAGCTGGGTCAGAAAGATCACGTTGTCTAACATCGTTTTTTTTAACTTCCCGAAGGAGAAGTTTATGTTTTCATAAAAAAATCCGATTCGCTAATTTCATGTTTTCTCAACGTTTCAAGCCATTCTGAATCGAAGAAGACCAAGTTTGGAAAAAGTATGTGTGTGTGTGTGCGTGTGTGTGAACAGATTGTTTGCCGTAAATTTTGCGCGACGATCAGCCGAACCGTTTCTCTGTAAATTGCAGAAAAGTGAAAAAATTTTCGTCTACGTTTTAGCCCGCAATTCTGAATCGATTTTGAAAATTCAAAAACCGTTCGAAAGATATTGGTTGGGAATCGTGCTGATTAGTTTTTGGTAAAGATCGGCCGGGCCGTTTTCTTGTAATAAAGCTTAAAAAAAATCGACGTTTTTTATGATTTTGTTTGACGGTAGATACCATGGTCTTCTAGATCATACTAAAATATTACCGCCCTATGACAACTCGTTTAGCTTTAAAAATTCGTCAAAGTTTACAAAAATTGGTATCGTTTTTTTGGCTTTTGTCAAAATTAGACATTTCATCGACGTTTCTCAAAAACGCCTAAACTGATTTCAGAAATTTAAAAGCCATTCGATGTATCTCAATGAGCACTATACTTTGTCAGTTTTGTGAGACTGATCTGCCGAGCCGTTTTTTGTATAATTTGAAAAAGAGTGTTAAACTTCTCGTCCACATTTAAGCTCATTCTACCGAATCGATTTTAAAAAATCAAAAACTGTTCGAAAGATATTAGTTGGGAATGATACTGATTCGTTTTAGGTGAAAATCCTCCGAGCCGTTTTTCTGTAATTAACTGTTGAAAAAAAATTTAAGCCGATTTTTATGAAACTTTCTTTGGCGATGTGTATCATGGTCTTATAGAACTTACTGAAATATTACGGCCTTACGACAAGTAGTTTAATTTTAAAAATTCGTCAAAGATTGAGAAAATGAGTAGTTTTGTTGACGTTTGTTAAAATTAAAGTTAGATGATTTACTTGGTATATAACGATAGATTACTTGGTCTTAATAAACATACTAAACCATTAACGTCCTACTAAAACTGGTTCAATTATAAAAATTGATTTGTGAAAATTTGCTTTTAGAACTCCAAGTGAACGCGTTCGTTCGTTTTCAATTGTGTGTAATAAATCCACTCGGAATTCTTTTAATCACTCATAAATTAATTTGTTTATTATTGATTAAGTTAATTATTTACGCATATCGGGAAGTTCATGTAACTTGCCTGAAGGCTAAATACCAATACCAACTAGTTGACATTTGTGCGATATCTAGGTTAGATTTTCTATCTTACAACCTGAGAAAAACGCCTGGCTGCACAGCAACCACACGGCTTTTGTCAATATTTAGTATGGAAAGTTCTTCATAACATAGCCTTGCCATAACGTTAATCTATACTACTCTTAACAGTTAACGATCGAGGCTTAATCCAACAACTAACTTTTACCAGAACCACCAGAGAGTCCTTTACCTAAATCTATTATCTTTTTCCTCTAGGTATAGTACGTCTTCCAACCTCGCCCGTCATCGGCAAACCCACAGGTCCGCCTCCGACGCCAAAGCCCGGCGGTGCCCCCATTGTGACAAAGTTTACGTGTCCGTCCCTGCCTATTCGATGCACGTAAGGACGCACGCCAGAGGATGCGCCTGCACCTTCTGCGGAAAAAGGTTCAGCAGACCTTGGCTGCTGCAGGGACACATCAGGACTCATACCGGTAAGTGGAAAAATTGATAGAAGAGTATTTTTTAATATGTAGAAACTGAATATCGAACAAATGCAATTCCCCTTCCAAATTCCATAGACGAATTTTACAATTTGACAAAAGTTACCAAAGTTGCAAAACAGTTGTCTCAGAGTCTCAGGAAATCGATTCTTGTAATGGTAAAAGAAATTTTGCAGAAAGTTGTCCAAAGCGAAAGGAAAGGTTGAAAACGAAAAAATTTTACTGAAAAGCGAGGACAATAACCTAAGCAAACGACAGCAAATTACTGATCTTATTTTTTTTTTCTAGAAGAAAAGATTCTAGAAAAAATTAATTTAATATGCCCGAGACAAGGATTAAGAACAAACCGTATTGTGCAGACTTCAAAAACGACGAAAAACTATATATTAAACGGTCCAATGAACAGTGTAGCAATGGCGGTCAATGAACAGTGCTCAAAACTAAATTCATCACATAATACATTTATCAACATTGTCAAAAGAAATAATACTTATTAGAATTTGTTAGCATTACTAGTGTGTTTGAGTCTACATATAAGTGCATGTGCGGACGTATGTATGTACGAGAGTATGTATAAATGCCCGTATGTGTGTTTGTAAAAATAACATAGTTTAACATTATTATGTTACATTACTATATAATTAACTGTATATAGCCGATTGGCGTATAATAAATAAATAAATAAATAAATAAATAAATAAATAAATAAATAAAACGGTTTTCAGAAATAAGTTATGCATCCAACCAAAGTTTTACCATAAACAGGAAATTACCTATAACAAGAAACCAAGATGCAATTTGCAATTTGTTGATCATGAGAGTAATTATTTGTACAATAGTCAAATGTAGGATAAAAAACAGGTGTCGAAAACACCTGAGGCAAATAATACATAGGATTTTGTCTGTTTTTACTACCAATTTTTATAAACACGGCGTTGCCATAACATTTGTATTTTGTTGGAGAATTGGTTCCTTTAATTTGTTATTGATCAGTTTTGCACAATTTATCTAGATTATCTAGATATTATTTTAGATTTGTAAGACACTTTTGTAGATATTTGATTTGCTCGTCTATAGAGTCTTTTTCTCCTTTTCTATCTAACCTTGTTTTTCAGTAGAATTCTTTTATTAATTTACTTGTCAGTAGAATCTTTTTTATATTTTAATTAGATATTTAATTCGCTCGCCAGTAGAGTCCTTTTTATATTTCAATTAGATATCTAATTTGCTCGTCAGTAGAGTTCCATTTGATTTAAATAAAGCACAAATGAAAATGAATCCTCTAGAACCAATTTAGCAATTCTTGAATTTATGACGTTAAAATTTTTAAACCTTTACGCGACGGAATAATCTAACTTTAATTGATTTTAATAGTTAAAACATGACTCCTAGGCCCATACATTTTTAGTAGTTTTTATTTTAAGACCATAAATTTTATCATCAAAATAGTACAATAAAAAAAGCAATTAATTGCAAGAAAACGTTGAAAATCGGCGCAGTCGTTTTTGAAAAAAGTTCAACAAAAGGTCAAAAACTTTGGCTCATATTCTCACACAAATACTTTCGTTTTTAACTTTGGTCTCAGCATATTCAGAAAGACTTGGAACCTCAAGATAAAATTAGCAAATTGAAGAAAAATGAATAAACTATTTCCTTATTTATTTGAAGATATTCACTTTAATATAAAAGAAATACTGTTTTTACAGTCTTATATCTTCAATTAAAAAATTGATTCTAATAACAAGTACATAGTAAGATAAGAACAATTTTATTCAGTTAAGATTAGATTGTAAGATAAGAGAACAATCTTATCCATTGAGATTATTTTTATAAATATGTATTATTATTAAGAAATATTTTACACCGTAAATATTTCCTGATTTCCATTCAACAATTTCAACACTAATGTTAAAAGTATCTCAAAAGAAACAGAAAAATTACGAATAAATTTAACAACCTTAGAAAAATTATTACTAATTAATAATTACTAAATTACTAAATAATAAATAATACTAATAATTTGAAAATGCTAGAATTATGATATATTTTTGTGTAAAATATTCCTTTGGTAGAGTAATTATTTATTACTACATGATTTTAAAAATATAAGTAGATGTCGAAATCAATATTTTTGAAATCTAGGCGAGATTTTATATGAAAAGCGAGCGCAGAAAAAATTCTAAAATATTAAATATAAAAAAAATAATTCTGTGCCTTTATTGCATTGAAAATAACAAGTTGTCGTGCATCAAAAATATTTAACTTTTAAATTTGCAGAAAATTTGCAGAAAGCAGTATTTTACTTTAAAACTGTTGCACGAACATCAGTAATAATGAGATATAGCTGTTTAGATAAAAAAACTTTCTAAAAAAAATTAATAATTGTACACTATTAATTATAGTGTACAAATACAAGCTTGTATGTCCTAAAAGCCCAAACTATCATTCCAAACTTTAATAAAAACAATGTAATTCAAGTACTTTTCGTAGGACTATTATTTTTGCATAGAAGAAACTAGATTTTTCTAACACTTAATGAGTTATTTGCCAAATGATACCTTTGGAATAGGGTTTTTAAATTTTTTAAATCGATTCAGGAGTATTCTGCTAATTGCATATTAAAAAAAATATATAAATAAGAATTATTGCTCGGGCGATAGCCTAAAAAAATAGTGAAAGCAAGTCTTTCTTATCGTATACCAATACATAGCTTAAATTTAAAAAATACAACTTTTTTCAAATTTAGTCTCACACGATTCAAAATGTTTTGAAGTGACCAAAAAGCAAAATTAGCAAGTCCAATGTTATTGCAAAAAAATAATCTCCTATGAAAAGTCAATTACCGTAATGTCGATTGTGTATTAATCCATACCAAACGTGATCAAATCTCGTCTAATTATTACTTTAGTGCAAATTCTTACACAAACTATCATTTATTATGATAATTTAAGATTTTTCCTTTATTTTTAGGTGAAAAGCCCTTCAAATGCTCAGTCTGTTCCAAAGCCTTCGCCGACAAATCCAACCTAAGGGCACACATCCAAACGCACTCCAATACCAAACCTCATGTCTGCATCAGATGTGGAAAGGCATTTGCTCTAAAATCATATTTGTATAAACACGAAGAATCGTCATGTGTCAGACAGACATCCAAAAATGAAAACAAAAACCAGGAACAGAACAGATATCAATCGGTCGTGGCAAAAAGCCCAACTTACATAAATGAAATAAATGAGCCAAATGAAAACCAACAGGAAAATTTTGTAAGATCTAATGAAACTAGTGATTCTGGTGTGGGTCACCAATTTGTGCCTGACCAGGATAAAAATTTCATTGAAATTGGTAAATACAAGAGTACTACTGTTAGTCCAAAAATGCTACCCAAAGTAGTTCCACGAGAAGACAAAAGAAGTCCAAGTAAAACCAATTATACATTTGGAGCCCAAAACAATCCATACAAGGAAACCAGTATAAATTTTAACAATACAACTGAAGACTTTTCAAAGCAGCAAACATCAAGTCAAAAAATATTAAATCCATATACCCAAATTACTTCTGATCTCGGCCAAGCTCCTGATTACGAAGAAGTTTTAAACCGGCTTCAACAAAATAAGAAAAACAACTGCAATTTTCCAAATGCTGTATTTTCTTTCAACAAACGCCAAAATTTGGAGTTTAATTATGAGGAAAATGCAATGATTGAAAATAGGTACCAGGATGAAGAACCTATGGATTTTTCGACGTCTAATCTGCAGGTGAAACAGTATCGTGGGTATATGGATAAAGCACAAATTGCAGTTTAAAAAATCTTAATAGATCTTGAATTTTCTAAAAAAAAATTTAGTTTTAAGAAAAGCAACATATTTTCAAACAAAATTTGTAGGTTGATGAGAATGAATCGAAACAAATAGATAAATATTTTGCCAGTGAAATTAGACTTTGGTCTAATCCAAGATGACAAGTAAAATTCATTTGATCAACTCATTAACTACTGTCTAAATTTTTTTTCTCAAGAAATTTAAGAACAAATCAAATGATTCGAGACAAAACAAAATATTAAAAATGAATGATGAAACGCAGATTGCTATGTAATAGATCTTCAAAGATCTTTAATTAACATACAGATTGTAGGAAAACAGTTTTAAAATAGCCATACCTTTTCAAGGAAAGTTTTGAAGTAGATGTCCAGATATAATTTGACTTGTTTCTTATATTTAGATAAATATTTTAATAGTAAAATTAGACCAAAACAATTTAATCCATTTAGCTACTGTTTGCAATTTTTATTCAAGAAGTTCTAATTATTTGAAGCAAAATATAATTAAAAAATCTAATAAATGAAGAAGATGAAATAATCTACTGAATAATTTGTGGAAAAAGCCCTAAAAAATTGAAAAAAAAAACAGATAAATTAATCCAAAAATCAGCCCAACAGTTGCTATATACATAATTATTTAAGAAATAAAAATTCTAGTAAATTTGAGAAAAAATATAATTAAAAACACTGACAAAAAAGCAAAAAAAAAATTCTTTAATATTCGAGCAAACCAAGTGTATAAAATTTATTCCTCGACCAAAAATAATTATCAAAAATTTATCAAATATCAAATATCGAAATGCCAAAAGGCCCAACAAAACTATTCAGTTTTTGGTGAATAAAATAAGAATGGACCAGAAGTAAGTTTTTGTTATGATCCGAAATAAAAAATTCAATTTCATTAACTCATGAACATTTTATATAAAAAATCAGATTTGAGCCAATATATTGAACGTTGTGCTTCAATTTTATTAATAATTGTAAATAATTATTAATTGTTAATATTTTATTAACAATTGATTAATAATTTAGATAGGTCCAGCGGTTTCTAATTTTCCAGATAATAAAAAAAACTAGCAAATACAAAATTTAGAAAAATGAAATTTTTTGCATATCTTTACGTTTCAAAGATTTCTGAACATTTTAGTATACCTTAGAAAAAATTGATGAATGTGTGTACGTGTATGTGCATATGTATGTATAAATTACAGTTTGATTTTTCCGAAAAAAATTGTGTTTTTTTAAACATTTATGAAAACATTTGAAAAATTTGAATATTGAAAAAAATACTCATGACTTAAATTTTTTTGATGATTTTAATATCTCCGAAACCTTTAAATATAACTTAATTTTTAAATAGAATGTGGAATGTTTTTTGAATTACTCAAATCGGTTGATTTGTGCTCCCGAAAACGTTGACTAAAAACTGTATCCACAGTTCCACACATACACACATTCATCAATTTTTTCTAAGGTATGCTAAAATTTTCAGAAACCTTTGAAACGTAAAGATATGCAAAAATTTTCATTTTCAATTCAAGGGATGATTACAATAACATACCCTATGGGAAGTTAATTAGTGATATGGATTCATAGATTGAAATTTTTGGAAAAAAAATCAAAATTTTAGTTATAAACAATTTAATCATATGAAATAATGTAAAAATGGAACCAAAAACTGAATTGTTTAAAATTAAATAAAAATGGAACCAAAACTCCAATGTGATAATCCTTTTAGAATAACGGACCAAAAATTAGCCTATTTATAAATAAGAAAAATTAATTTTAAAAATAAATATTTTTAAGAGAATAGTATAAAAAATTTAAGAAGTAAATTTTGCATTATGGAATTGGATAAACAAAATTTGAAAAATTATATTTTATAATAGATTTTTGCGGTAAAAATCTTCACGAGCAAAATTTGAATTATGCTATAAAATTATATATATTATAAATTACATTTGAAGAAGATAATTTTATAGTAGTCATTTTCCGTACTTAAATCCTCACAATTTTCATGATAAATTATTTAGTTACTAACAATATCGTTGTAAAACTAGAAAGTAAATAGGTTTAATATTTTTAATACCCAGATTTATTTAAGGATATTATAATTTTAAGATAAGATTCTAGTACTGGAGATAAATTTATGGTTAATTTTATTTGTAAGTCTATTTATTAAGTATATATTTATCATATAAGTATCATACAGCTAAAACCAAAGTGCCTAATTATAATACTCGAAAAATTCAACAAGATCACGAAGTGTCTTTTGAATTGTAGATTTTAAGTTAACATAATTAAAAATTAAATTAAATTAATTTAATTAAAAAATTAGTTTTGCAGAAATAGGAATAAAATAAAACCTCAATACTGAGTACATTTTTACAGAAACAGAAATATAAATAATTTAAAAATAAAAAAAAATATCTTCAACAAATGAAGACATTCACGAGAAAGCTTGTAAAAAATCATACTGATAATTATTACATTTGAATTATTAATATTTATACGGTCGTTGTAATTTTTTTTTAACCAGAAGTTTAATTGCAAATTTGTACGCAAATCTTGAAATTATAAATATCTGAAAATCCCGATTTATATTTAAAATAGTAAATTAGGTTACTATGTTACTATAACCTAAAATGTACATTTATCAAAATTCGGAAATTTTCCCCAAAAATATCCATACCTATATTAATTATAATTAACATTTTATTTTATTTTAATTTTACTTTACTTTTTAGAACGGACAGAGTGAAGACTAGTCTCAAATTATGATTTATGAAAAAAAAATCCTTAGATTTAGTTTGATTTTTATGTTTTTAAATAAACAGTTTTTTGTCAATCTTGCTAGTCAAAATTTTTATTCGCATAAATAATAAATTTTAGATTAATTATTAATAATATTACTATCAAGGCCGGAATGGAGCAATATATAGATATAAAAATAATAGAAATATTTTGTTTATAAGTTAGTATTTATAAAATCTATTATATTACCAAGAAATTGTGGCATTATTCGTACTTAATTTTTTATGAAATACTAAAATATATATAATTTAATATTAATTGTAATTTATCTATTTTAATTTATTTATAAGGGATACCAAAGTGTATACTTAAACAAGTAGAATAAACATTAATAATTTCATATGCTCTAATTTGCTTATATATATATATATATATATATATATATACATACATATGTATTTTATAGTAATTTATTTTATATCAGCAATTTCCGTACAACATTTTAATAATAGTTTTCGGAAATTAAACTAAAATTGAACTTAAATAGATGAAGATTTATCTATCTGATATTCTCAACTATTAAAAATACAGTGAAGTGAAAATTTTCTTATTTATAGCAACAAAAAATGTAGACTTGGATATTGAATAAATAAATTCAAAACTTCTCGAAGGAGAGGTTTATGTTTTCATCCAGAAATCAGATTTGCTAATTTTATATTTTCTCGACGTTTTAAGCAATTCTGAACCGAATAAGATCGATTTTGGACCTTTTGTCGACGAATTTGACCTTTCGTCGACGTTTTCTCAAAAACGGCTGAACCGATTTAAAAAATTTAAAAATTATTCGATGTAACTCAATAAGGACTAGCGTTTGTTAATTTTACGCGACGATCGGCTGAGCCGTTTCTTCGTAAAACGCAAAAAAGTGAAAAAAATTCGTCCACGTTTCAGTCAAAAAAAATATTGGTTGGAATCGACTTGATTAGTTTTTTTATAAAGATTCGCCTTCGATTCGATTTTAAGTTAGTTATCAGTCTTATGGACATACTGAAATATTACGGCCCTATGTCAAGTAGTTTATTTTTTAAACATCAGATTTTAAGAAATATATTCAAAATTTGTGTCAAAAGTTGCTTGTGTGATATCAAAAGTCAAACAATGTCAATTTATTAAAATTTGGAATAATAAGCTGTAATTTTAAGACATACAAGCACGTGCCTGTGCAATATAATTAAATTACATATAATTTAAATGTGTTTAGGCAAATTCTATTCGAAACCGCAATGTTTAGATTTAGAAAAAAACAGTTGAAAATTTTATCTGAATATCTAAAACTCAATTTCGGTTGTTCGGTTACACCATGAACCTTATCACTAATTGACATGAATTCAGAATGACCTAAAACGTCGAGAAAACAAAATTGGCGAATCGGATTTTCTAGCAAAAACAAACTTGTTCAGAAAGTTTGTAACTACAGTATTTGTCCTGTGTTTCTACAAATTAAATTGAAAAAAAAAAAACGTTTTCCAAATAATAATGACATCATCTTCTATACCCGAAATTTCAATTCCAAAATCGACTCCTCAGATAATCTTTGACAGTCGTTCGTATATAATTATTGTAACACAATTCTTGTAACTGATAACAAGTCTTTAACGAGACTTCTTAATCGTTAAAAAGATCTAAATGAAACAGTGAACTCACTGTTTTGAATAATTCTACAAAATCGTAGGACATTACTAGAGACAAAATCAGTCCGGCAAAATCTTTCGCCTTGCCAACAACTAAAATTGGGAAAAACATCCTAATTTATATCTCAATTTTTTTTTTCCGGAAAAATAAAATTATAGATACTATAAAAGGTGATATTAAATTTTACAGTGTTTTAAAAAAAATTAAGTACATTTTTGAGATCTTTGCGAAATAGCGGTTGCACATTCGTCCTGTTCGAGATTTTTGGGCAATTCAAAAAATGCATATGAATTAAGCATATGAAGAAAAAGTTTGTTTGATTCGTTAAAAGATTTAAAAGAATAACAATTTTGGCTTTTATTGATAATAATATAATAAATCCCAGATTGCACAATTTATCCTGTTTTTATTTCTTTTATTTTTATTTTTTAACTATAAGACGATGTAGATTCATTTTGCTTCAGGAAGAAAATTTAACGAGTTGGAGCAATGTGATAAAAATATAATTCATCATCTACATTAAATTTTTAATTCGTATTT